TCCTTCCTTTCTTTCTTTATTTCTTTCCCTCCTTCCTTCATTTCTTTTCTCTTTTTTTCCTACTTAAATTTTCTTTTTTCTCTCTCTGTTTTTCTCTCCTCGTTTTTTGTCGGTTTTCCACAAGTCAGACGTGATGCAAACRACACTCACTAAGTTAAATTAGTTAACCTAATTATCAACACGGACAACCCACGGTACTTGTCACTAAACCATGATAAGAATACCATAGCTTCCTCAATTCACCAAAGACATAGTGTCATGCATATGCTTAGAGTACTAGATAAAGATTTCAAAAGACTTTTAACTATATATATATATTTATATTTTATCAATTAAATATTCATTATCCATGATGATAGATAGAAAGATAGTTACACGCTATATAGCTGTTTACTGTTTATGAATGTACGACCAGATGCTTAAGGCTGCTGCATTTCATGCGTGGATGTTCGCCGAAGAATATGAGAAGGAATAACAAAGCAAGGCATGCATTAAAAGTTACATTTTCAATAAAATGAGTGACGAATTTCGAAGAATAAAATTATAATCGACAGGTAAGTACTGCTAGAAGTAGAGTTGGATGGAGATTTTAACTTTTAAATTACTGTCCGACTTAGTTATGAAGACATTAGAAGTTGCAACCTCAAAATACATGCAGGTTAAGACTGCTATACATCCGATCGATCTTTAGGTAAAAATGTATATCCGATATAAATATAGTAGATTTATTAAATAGTTTAGATACTACGCGTCCTCTAATTGGTCCAAACGCTTGAAAAACCAGGTTTATAGCAAAGGACAGAATACACGCTCAGCTCAAACGTTTTGTATTTTATACAAGCAAAACAAAACGCTTGTGTCCTATACACCTATTTCGAAAATCGTTGTCGCACCAAGAGCCTCAAGTAACAAGCCAAGGCTCCAGAGAACGTCGGTACTTTTAATTATAATTGATTTATTCATGGTTCATGCAAGTGGCTATAGCTCTCCACTATAATAATAACAACTTTATTAATGTCTCTATATCTTCTAGCCGGGCACAAGTGCCCTACTAATCGGGGAGACAAAATTCTCAAGCAGCCTTGCTTGGAGCAATTTGTGAAGTTAAATGAAAATGCACCATGAATAAACTAGTTACAGCTAAAAGTACCGGCGTTCTCTGCGGTCTTGGCTTGTTGCTTGAGGCTTTTGGTGCGACAACGCTTTCTGAATTAGGTGTATATTACTGTGATATAAACACGCTGGGAGCTGTAGAGCAAGAGCTTGGTACGCCTCGTGTCTCTTTACGACTTTTTCTTGCCCTACAGCTCCCGGTGTGTTTATATCATACCACAGAGACACGCCTCGTGTTTCTTAATTTTCTCTTGCTCTACTTGCTCTACAGTGTTTTTATTACAGCRAATAGACACACGCCGTTTTATACTCATACTTATACTCACTATTTTTCAGTGTATATGAACCTTTCACCAGCCGGCTAGAAATTAATACTTATATTTTAGTAATAGTTATTGGTTATTTATCAAGGCAAGTGTAGAAATCTGCCACATGCTTCTGACGTCATGTCTATTACGATTACACTATATAAGGAAACTGTTCTACATTTAAACATATTTATCTATTAATAACAAAACTCACTGATTTAATTATGGAGATGATTGGATGGTCTAAAAGTATGCCGCATCCTGATACTATGAGAGACCGCGTTCATGGATCGAGGATTGGATGTGCAGTGGGCGGTTAAAATGTAGTTAAAAAAGAAGGRAAGGAAGGAAGGACTAAAAAAGAAAGAAAGAAAGAAAGAAAGAATACAAAAACGAATGAACGAACGAACGAATGAATGAATGAATGAATGAATAAATAAATGGATGAATGAATGAATGAATGAATGAAAAATGAAAGAGAGAAGAATGGGAAAAATGGAAGAAAAAACAAGAAAAGAAAAGACGGAAAGTACCGCGTTGCACCATAGTTACAAGAGATGAATAGATCTCCCTCTATTAGCTATGGGTTGCACTGCTTTGAAATTGTAATGGTTAGGGAAGTTAACAGCATTTACATCGCTATAACCAAACGACTAATTGTCAATGTTAGGTAGTCCAAGTAGAATTGTTTGTTATTCTATTAAGCACAACAACAACAGATTTGTATATCTGGAACATTCCCAGTTGAATGACAAGAGTGGACGTGTCATTCTTGAACCGCATTCCATAGTCTAGTTGATACCACAATCAATTCCAATACCAGCGGTTTAAAACCAAAGTTCGCCAACAAGGTCTAAACGAACAAAAACGAAAGAAAAATGACAGACAGACGGAAAAAAGAATCTGTGACAAACATCAATGTTGGTGTTATTTTGATATTTTGTGGTGAACTCAATGTTAAATTAAATAGGTGGTTTTGGTTTTACTGATACTAATGAGTTATATATCGTTAACAATCATGATGAGATTATAAAAAAATATCATTTACAACTCAAAACTGTTTTTCTTCCGTAATTTCAAGTGATGCGGTCAAATTTGACTTCTCCAGCAGTCTTTGGTAAAACTAGTAAATAAAGTGCTAATACATCTAAAAGATGGCAATTCCTATTTTACCTGGTTTTTTTTTTTTAGTGGTAACTTCTTCGAGATTTTTCCTGACTTCTCGACTTGTTTTCCTGTCTTATCTTGTCTTATCAGCTTTTATTGTTTTTCTTTCTTTCTTAATTCCCTTCTAGTATATTTGTAAGCGTGGCTTATCTCATGCCATTTAACATGACCCTGATGTTATGTAAATCTCGTATTTTTTTGACTTCGTTTTACTAAGAAATATGCAATATATGCGTAGGATAAAGTTGAGTGTGTCCTGAAAGCAATTGCAAGACTTGGGAGCCCGCCTTCGAGCCCACGAACAAAATATAGATCCGAAAAAATTGATCCAGAATGTTATTGCAATCTTATCGGTGAATTCGAAAAAGTACATAACAGATATTTGATCGTAAGATAGMAAAAATGATTAAAAAGCCCTCAAACGAGGGCTGGTAGCTGGAACTTTGTGCAAACACGCCCTTGAAGATTACTGGATAAAATGGTTGACGAAAAAGAATCAATATAAGATATCTTGTGTTATAAATCTGTTAAGGTTTGTGTGTCTAACCGAGCGAGTGCGTAACCCTTTAAGGCACTTAACCTCACCCAGTGTATGTCATGTTGATAACTAAAACTCCAGCTTGATAAACAGCTATCTTACATATATGTATGTGGACATAACTTGATTCATAAACCAACAGAAACTATAATGCATTTTGGTATCCCTCGTTCTCTATCTTCTACAAAAGTTATCTTATGTTGTATCCCTGCAGTATTGTGCGGTATATTGAATCTCAATATTAATTTCTACAAAAATAGAAAACAAATTTCACCTCTTTTTTTAATTATTTCTGTTATAAAAACCCTTGCTGAAATTGTCTTGTTTACTAGCCCAGTTTTAGTGTTGCGTAACCCTAAGAGTCAACAACAAAATCTAGCTTGGTTTGCTTTCACCTTTTGGACTTTGAACTCCAAAGTCAAACTAGGATCAATGAAAAAGTAGCAGGTGTATTTGTACAGAAGGGTTTCGCGATAACATAGAGTGAATCCCAAAAATGAAGGCCTATCGCTTTCTTGATAATCTTTCTTTGAAATATTGATCATTATTTTAACTTTCGTTTTGTGTTTCATTTTCCACGAAAAAAAATTAAATAAGTCTAGATATAGCAATAAGCACTCTCATTACGTATGTTTTTGTGTTTTTAGACATTGCATCAACGTAGTTTACATAACTGAAATATCATTTTTCTCAAATACTGATGCTAAAACCAATATAGCACCGCTACAACACCATGTCACCTTGTCATCCGATACCTTTTTCCTGTAATTATATCCAAACATTGTAAAAAAAACACCTTCCGAAAATGCCGAATCAAAAATTACCTTATTTCTAACATATGGATGGATTCTTTACAGCAAAATTACTGTCCGTCAAATAAATCCATGTTACTCAAAGGCTACTTTATTCATTTACGCGCGCATTTGTGAAGGGACTTGTGAAGGAACATCGTTATAAGCTAAGCGTAAAACAGTAGACCTATGGTCATGATATTGAAGGAATATTGAATTATTAAATTCAATGGTATTTTATCGCAAAATTTTCCAAAAATAAACCTGAAAAAATATATTAGATTTGGACGAAAATAAATCAGTGTCAAAACAACTCGCTGTAAAAAAAACTGTTTCCAATTTTAGCTTGATTTTTCTAAATATTAATCTTGGGGACTTATTTCTAAACAAATTGTTGAATAGGTAGTGAAATATACAGCAGTATAGATTGCAATTAAAACAGGACTCCAATTGACCAATCAGAAATCTCCAATAATATGATTTTGCCCTTCTCAAAGACAATGTCAGTCGGATTAATGATGGGTTCATTCACTTAATAAATCCAGAGAGAAAATTGTTTTTTCGAGATGTCATTTTCTAATTGCACAATCTTTCGATTGCTTTTGGTTGGTTTGATGGATTATTTACAATCAAGATGTGGGTTAGAAAGTCTTCGACACGGGCCTAAACATCTCTTGACTTTCAAGAGGGAATTATCAAAGTATTGCCTTGTGAAAAGTGACATGGGGGTCAAAACTTCGGATATCGTTCAGCTTTTTTTTCCGGAATAAATTATATAAATTTTGTCAAACGGTTTTGACTGCAAATAAAACACGTCTCCCAGGATACCCAGATTTTTGCCAAAAATGATAGTCCGAGCTGTGTATATAAAAAGCGTATTCGTAGCTTTGATTCATTGTCTACAAGAAGTTTTCTTGTCTCGAGTACGAAGGAACGGTCAGGCTAATGCTGAAGAATAAAGAAAACTTTGACGCAAAAGAAAGGATTACTTACTCAGTTAGGAGGCTTAAAAAGAGGATTTGAAAGTAAATATTTAAAAGGAATTGTAGTTGAAGATAAGAAGTGAAGTAGCCTCGTGGAAAATGAGATGGAAGTAAATGAATAGCCAAATATAACGTAGGCGTTTATGCAGACATACACGATGCATTTGGCCAAAACCTTAATACGATTTGAACTCAGAATTCGTTAATTTTGTCAAACACACAAAACAAATGTTTAGTTTTCTTTCTTAGCTTCATTGTATTTATTTTAAGAACTGAATGAGAATGAATAATCATGTTCCTCAATGGTAATGAGACGCTATTGCATTATGGAATTAGAACCAAAACGTGCACAATTTTCAGGCGATTTTCATTGATCATCCTGGAAGGGAGGCAGCTTTCACAATCAAGATCTTAATCAAATGGAGGTAATCTATGTATTAGTAATATATAAAAGGCATCAATGACTTCCTCTATATTTAATGCCCAAAAATTGAATCGGATAAATGAAAAAAGAGGCAAAAAGTGATTCGCCTAGAATCCAGACTAAAGTGGCACGCACCTCCCATCCGTTGCAATACGCCACAATTCGTCTTTTTTATTTTTCTAATCTTAATGTGCTTCGACATTATTTACGGCTGAGTCAAGGAGAAAGGTATAAGAATCAAGATTTTTTGGCTAAAAAAATTGTCAAATACAAAAGGAGAAATGCGCTCAATTAAGATAATAACCATTGGAAAGCGAAATGCTGTAATTTAGGTTTAACGAGTGTAAAGGAGGAAGTACTATAGTATAAATAAAGTGAAGTTTAAAATGAAATCTAATAAAGGTAAATAAACTTGCTGAAAGTGCCATACCGTAAGAGGTTAAAAGAGACTTGAAATTAAGACTAGGATGTGTCCTTCTTGGTCCATCACAAATTTTATCTTAATGGGCCTAAGCGTTGGAGGGTGGGTAGCTCGAGGAGATCTCGAAGGCGTATTTCAAATTAAGAAACACGTCAATCCAACATGAGTATCATACCAAGAGGGGGGAAGTGATAGTAATATTATATCTTGCGCCGGGTGATATATGGTTCAGTGTTGGTTCATCTCTTCTTGGTGTGATATTCTAATTAGGAAAGTATTAATACTTCAATGGCAACGCTCTGTGCATCTTTAATCTATAAATTGCAAAAACTTAATCACAAGAAGGGAGGCGCTTCTCTTAGAAGTCGATGAACGGCCATCTTCTACGCCTCTATCCGCTAATAACCCTATATTTGATAACAATTTACTCTTTAGAAGTCTATCTTGTCGTTTTTGGTCATTTTTCTCATCTTAATGGTATAAGAGTGGGAAGATCTCGTTCGGGAGAATCCAACTGCTTGTGTTTGTTTAGCCTGATTGGTTCTTAACTCTGACACTTGAATTTTGAAAGCAAAACAATTGAGGTACAGAAACGCCATAAACGACATGTCTCTTGATAATAGGAGCTAAATTTACAGACTCTGATTCTAAGCCAGTCAGAGAATAGGAGTCTAATAGAAGCCGCGCGAGGTGGTGAACTGAATACTTCAAGCTTGTCTCCGTCTGTAATCGGGTTATTTGAACGGACAAGTTAAAAACCATTTATTATTTAAAAAATAGAACAGAGGAAACGAAACAGCATCAAAAAGCAGGGAATCACTTTACCAGGAAATCGCATGCCCAAGAGACATAAAAGGAAGAAATCCTGCGAAGACTTATCACAACTTGGTAAGCGCTCTTTGTTGCTTCGCTCTTACCGAAAGAAAAGAAAACTATGGCGACTGACGAGAGAAATTATACCGACCTGGGATGTCAGAGTCAAGTGGATTCCGAAGAAAAGGTGGCTTCGAAAATACTTGCGTACAGCGCTGTATTTCTTGTCGCCCTGGTCGGTAATATCCGAGTCATTGCCTTAGTTCTACGGAGTCAAGGTATGCGTCGAAGGACAATCAATCTTTTCGTTGTAAACATGGCAATCTCGGATCTTTTGATCTGCCTCTTTGTCATGCCAAGAACCATGGTGGAAATTGCAGATATTCCGGTAAAATGGCACGTCGAAGGGATCATTGGAAACGCACTTTGTAAACTGGTTTTCTTTATTCAAGATACCTCTATTGCTGTGTCGATCGAGAGCTTGGTCATAATAGCATTTGATCGGTATTTTGCGCTAGCTTATCCAACACACGCTGCACCTACTTCAAGAAGAAGGCTTCTTATCATCATGATGACGTGGATTGTAGCATTTTTCGTTCATTGTCCCTACTTTTTCACCTACAAGTTGGAGTCGTTTGGAAACACGACCTTCTGCATCGAGGTCTGGTCCCTGAATCCTCTTGAACACGTTGAAAAGAAGAAGACATTCTTCTACGCCACATTCTCGTTGTTTTGTTTGGCTCCAATGGTGCTCCTGACTGCCTTGTACTCGGGAATTCTCTACAAGCTCAAACAACAAGGCTACCTGATAAGAAGCGTATCAAACGGCAGCACCAGCTCAAAGAGAAAACGAGAGTACCATGTCCTGAAAATGGCCATTGCCATATTGATCGGGTTTGCTGTATGCTGGGCGCCCGTCAATACCTTCATTTTCATTTTTGTTTTCATTTGGAAGTTCGCGTTGCCATGTAACCTCAACGACCTGGTGTTTTTTGTGTTCTTCATGGCGTATGCTAACAGCGCAGTGAATCCTTGCATTTACATTTATTTCAGCCGAAATTTCCAAAAGCTTTCCAAACGACACCTCACCCAAAAACGTATCAACTTTGAAGCGATGCAGAATTTTTTTCGCATGAGGAACATGGCAAGAGTTTATTAGATTGAAAAAAATAAATAATAAAAAAAAGATAAGCCCATAAACCTGATACTTGAAAATTCAATCAAGTTTCTTTGTCTCGAACGATGTTTAAAATGCATACAACTGATATTCCAGTGAATAAAGCAAAATTCTACTAAAACTGTAAATAACCTCTGCATGATAGAGAGCACGACAAAGACATCACCAAGTACACTTATCGATTAGTCTTCGCTTTGTCGCTTGTTAGATATGTTTATATGAATTAAGCATTCATTTCTTGTGTCTCTCAAATATTCTGTAAACTAATAAGCGATTTGATAATATTTACACGTATAGAACGTTGAGTGACGCCGAATAATAATCATAAAGCCATTTGCTCTAGTTTTCTTATCGCAAAAAAAACATGTACACCGAATGCATGCCACAAAAGTAACATTTTGCTTGGCGGTATAGTCTTTGCTATGGAATATGTTATTCCATACATAAAATCCCTAGAGGATCGAGGATCATGACGCGCCATAGTCCAACAGGTAAATATTCTACTCGCCTTCGTCTTCTCGACCACGTATTTTCTAGATTAAAAGCTCTAAGTTTCTTTGGCGCTTTCTTACACAATAGGACACTTACTATTATCCTTGTGGTAATGGGGTGGCCTTTTGTTTCTTTAGCCGTCTATAGACGCTCAGCTCTGGAATTCGACTAATCCATGTAGTCCCACAGGAAATACACACTACCTTTCCATTCATGCACACTTACATCCGAATAAAACTGCACTCCGACACAGACAAAAACTCCAAAAAAATCTCACAGTAATTTATTCCAGACAATACAACTCCTTTGTTTTGTTTCAATTTCGAAAAGAAAAAGAGGATCTTGTCTGGTATAAAACACGGCTGCCTCAAGCGAGTATTGCCATGCTTAGCGTGGATTGTATTTAGAAAAAGAAGTTATCGATGATCGATCGGCGCTTTTAAGCGATAAAAATGCCTGACAACCATTTCTGGCACACCAGAAAAGGTATAACTGATATGAGCTCTATTTCAACGCCATTGGGATTGACCACAAACTTTTCAGTCCACACGAATAACCACACAAATAACCACTGACACGGCAAACGAGTAGCACACGGGGGAAATCTCATTTTAATTCCCTCCGTGCATGTGTTAAAGCTCAGATCTAGATGCCTTAAGAYAAGTTCAAGCAAGATTTCTTACCCCTAAAATCAATGCAAGGAATAAAAAAATATTACCAGATCAAAATCCAATCTCTCTTTCAAAATTGGATGATAAGATATCGCTGAGATTATGAGAATATTATTATAGTTTTCCGGTATACAGAGTTCATGTGCCCAAGCCGTCGCCGTGAAAACACAGGATTTCCATTCATCATCATTATCATCATCGTCGTCATCATCATCATCATCATCACTAGAGTTGCTTTCGAGCTCACAGCCTAATTGCCCTTACCTGGTACAGCTAGTTGAGCAAATTTTTTGTTTGTTTTAAATATAATAAATACTTTATTAAAACAAAGACGTGACACTTTACAATATACAGATATACACAAAAAGCTATACATAACATTTTCTTTTCCTT